TCCTCCTCTCTCTCTCTCTCTCTCTCTCTCTCTGTTCTTGTCTGCTGTCGGTTGTGTGGGTTCGCTCTCTCAAATCTCACACTCCCACACTCACCAGGTCACAAAACCCAGTGGAAAACTTCCTACCTGTCTGCCACCTCCTCCACGCACCCAACATATCCACAGTGCTAGGTGTGGTCTAGCACTTTTGTCGGTCAAACTTGTCGGTCAGGTCACCCCCCTGAATGACATAAGCTTCACTGATAAAAACCCTGGTGTGGACAGCACTTTGTCAGCAAGAGAATGTCTCCTCCACTGCTCATTAGGGGTGGTGTAATTATGCATAGAGCAGCTACATGGGAGACTTTACAGTGGAGCAGCTGGAGTGGTACAGCTGTGCCGCTCTAAGGTCTGTAATGTGGATATAGCCCTAGCCTTTGTGCAGACTCTATTTAGCCTTGTTTTAGGTGTGGCTACTTTACTCTCTTTTACAGCTCTATTAAGTGAAAGGGTGCAGTCCCACACCAATTTGAACAAGGTCAACTCAATCCAGAACAAGATTTCGCCCAGCTCATAACAATTCATTTATTTTTACTGATGTTGATATGCTTGGGAATTTGTACTGATTTTTATTCAGTTTTGTATCATGTAGTTAAATAGGGTAACTGTTGTTACGTTGCACTCCATATTCTTTATGGAAATATGATTATGAATACAACATAACTGGAAAAGCTTTATTCAAAATCTGTCATGTGCCATATCCTTGGAAAGGTTATAATCTCCTGAATGTGTTCATCCTATTTGTATGCATGTATTCATTTCTATGTTTGAACTTAGAAATATGAAGTGTAAACCGATGTTACTGTTACTAATGTAGTTATGCCAAGTGAAGGCCATTAAGGGTACTTCAGGACCTTGATGACTCTTAAGCAAGAAACAATGGGCTGTCAATGAATTTTTTTCCCTGTAAGTCTGTGTGATGCCTGTGAGGAGGAGGGGCAATGGGGGTCCCTGCATAGGCACCGACTTCCCCTCTGGCCCGTGGGTGCTCGACTCCGGCTCCCACAGCCCTGCCCCTGCACCACCCTCACCCCGCCCCAATTCCACTTCCTTCCCCAAAGTCCCCACCCTGCCTTTTCCCACCCCAGCCCCGCCCTCTCCCCTGAAGTCCCTGCCCCTGCCCCACCTCTTCTCTGCCTTCTCCCCCAAGCGTGCTGCATCCCCGCTCCTCCCCCTCCCTCCCAGAAAGTTCTAAGTGCTGCCAAACAGCTGTTAGGTGGCACGGGAAGTGCTGGGAGGGAGGGGGAGGAGCAGCGACATGGTGCGCTCAGGAGAAGGAGAGGGGAGGAAGCGAGGCAGGGGTGCTTGGTTGCCAGTGGGTGCAGAGCACCTGCTAATTTTTCCCTATGGGTGCTCCAGCCCCGCAGCACCCACAGAATCAGCGCCTATGGGTCCCTGTGAAGACACATGTCTGTATCACTTGATGCTGGAATCCATCTTGGATTTTATATTTTTCCACAAGGCAGGGGGAAAGTTTAAACAAAGAGACAAAGGATTCCGACCTTTTGCCAAATCTATATATGGGTGTGAAGCAGAATAAAGAAGGAATTGTGTGGACACCCCTGCTTACCACCCAAAATGCCTGCTGGAACTAACAGAGACTGAACAGATTGGGCCCGGAATAGAAATGAGTCCAGTCTGTGAAAGAAACTAATTGGAACATCTTTGAGGGCGAGATAGTGCATGTAACCGGTTTCTTAGTGTACTAAGCTTAGCCTTGTGTGTTTGTTTTATTTTGCTTAGTAACTTTGTTCTGTTACCTCGTATGATCACTTAAATCCTACCGTTTTTACTTAATAAAATCACTTTTGTTTATTAATAAACTCAATGCAAGTCATTGGTACTTGGGGGGCAAACAGTCTGTGCATCTCTCTCTTCACTTCGAGAAAGAGGGCGAACAATATGAACGTATATGGTATAAAACTTTATACAGTGTAAGATGGATTTATTTGGGGTTCAGGTCCCATTGGGGCTGTGCACTGGGGTGCTGAGGTAAGTCCCTTTAACTGAGTCACCCAAGAGATGAGCAGATTTCAGTGTCTGTATTCTGCAAAGGGGTGTGGTCCTATCTCTCTGTCTGTGCTGGAAGAGGCCTGGAGGGTCTGGCTCGGCAAGACAGAGGCAAGGGGTGCCGAGGCTGGCAGAAGGGTTAGGTTCAGTGGTATCTCAGCACATCAAGTGACAGTCCCAAGGAGGTCTCGATGAAGGAACCCGTCACAATTGTAGAAATCAAAACAAATGAATAAATCCTGTAAGAAGCAGCAGAAGCTACAAACATTCCTACCTGATTCCAGCTTGTGAACATAAAATGCAATGAAGAAAATGATAAAATCGGGTAGAGAGGAGCTGTGGCAAATTGACAGAGCCTTCATCTCAGTGTAACTTGATCTAGATGACATGGGGGGGGGAGATAAAATAACAAAAAAATGTATTGAGTGTAACACAGTCACAATGATTTAAGGCAACCTGGATACAGAGAAAATGGAAAATTATGAACAGGATACATTAT